GTCACATCAATCAACTGTGTATTGTGTAACATCTGTTTTCAAGTTCTCTGCTTGCTTCTGCTTCGGTCTAATCCCAAATCCCAGATCTACCTTACTTGGTTAACGCTGATTTTTAACCTTTTCCTGACCCACTTCTCAAGAATCTCTCTTTTTTTTCTTCCCTTTCTCTTTCCTCTGATTCATTGGTGCTTTAAACCTTTCATCGATTTCAATTTTCAATTGTTGTGGGTTTGTGGAACACAAGACCCCCTAGTGAGAGAAAGTGTTGGTCTAGGGTTAGATCTTCTGGTAACAACGCAAACGTTTTCTTCTTACCCCTAGGTGTTTTGCTCGATTTTGTGCGCAGCATTTCTGGGTTTTTGCTCCCTTGTTTACATTTTACCGTTAACGTTTCAAAATCTTCGAATTCGGTTGATTCCTCAACAAGGGTTTCTGGAATTAACCTAATTGGAATCAGCCCATAATTGAAACAGAATGCTCAAAAACTCTCGAAGTCGCAGGTTTCTCTTGTGAGTTTTCTCAATACTATTTCCTTGTTTATGTCACGTGGCTTTCATCTTCTTCAGTTTTGTTTTGTGGATCACAGGAAGCAATTTTGTTTAATGTGATCTTTTTTTACAGATTGAGGTTGATGAGATTGGCAAAAATCTGAGTTACAACCCAAGAAGTGACTCAAGCTGCTGTGCATCTTCTGTAACCAGTAATGATGGGCAGGGAACAAGAGCCCCGAGTGTGGTTGCGAGTCACATGGGTTTAGAGTCTTTACCGGTACCAAATGTCCAGGAACCTCGGTTTAATCCCGATCTTGATCCATTATTCCTCGGACCTTCACGGAACACAAACAAATGGGATGCATATGAAAATCTTGGTTATTTAAATCTCCGTAGTGACTATGATGGAAATTCCTGGGACCATTTGGATTCAAGAACGAATAATGGGCGCAACCGACCGATTGAGCGGTTCCAGTCTGAAACTTTTCCTCCAAGGTCGGCTAAACCAATTTGTGTTACCAACAATAGACTCTTGTCTCCTATCCGGAGTCCTGGGTTTGTACCATCCAGGAACCCTATTTATTTAATGGAAGCGGCTTCAAGAATGATTGAACCAAGTCCTAGGATCGTTGCTAGAACACGGTTTTCGCCATCTGATTCTACTTCATCAGTTCCCATGAGGATTCTAGATTTAAGAGAGAAACTAGAAGCCGCACAGAAAGTGTCAAGCCGTCAAGTCTCCAATGAGAAGAGAACCTCAACATCAATCACCACTCCGTCAACTAGTAAGTTCATGGGAAAAAGCAGTTCTGATGGTTTGAAGGGTAAAGTGAAGCCACCTTATGTATCTGCACAAGCAAAGACCAGCACAACGCCCGTAAGTGTCATCAGAAACCTGCAAGCCAAAAGGAGAAAGCAGATGCTAAAAAGACCATAGTCAAAAGCCAAAATGGTCTCAGAGGACCTCCCATTAGCACGGGTCACCAGAAACAGAACTGCAGGGACAACCAACCTTCAATGACCTCTGTTTCAAACCAACAAAACAGCAAAGTATATAACAAAGTTGTAAACAGGGTTCCAGTGGAAAATAGATTGAGTTCAAAACAGTCAGGTTTAACAAAGGCGTCTGCAGAAAAGAATACTTCTTTATCTTTGTCCCGCAGAAAGACTCTTCCCCGGAGCAAAAAACTCTCAAATGGGATGCAAGAATCTGGAATATCCAATGATAAACGGATCAAAAGGGGTGAAAATGTGATCAAATGTAACATTACCATTGATGGTGGCTTGAACAGAGGTAAAGATGATCGGAAAAAGGAAATGGATGTGATTTCGTTCACATTCTCATTGTCAAAGGTTTATCATCTGATTCACTATCCTCCACTCAAGGAATTGATCAAGACACAGACTCGGCAGTTAGTTTCAATATGATTGGCGGTAATGCTTTAAATGTCGTGTTAGAGAAAAAGCTCAGAGAGCTGACTTCTAAGCTTGAGTCCTCTAGCTGTAGCCTGACCCAAGAAGAGTCTTTAGAGTATGAAAAGTCAACCCAATACGGCATCAGAGAGTGAATCTGTTTCTGACTGCACTTCATTCTATGACAAAAAAAAATCCAGGTTAGTTCCTTCCTGGTGCCGCTAAGAGTTGAAGTATCCAAACTAGATGCAAGTTCATATTTAGCATTGTATGGGCTGTAGGATGTTTCCAGTTAAGTAGTATCAATACCAACCCTTTCCATGGAATCTGACCTGTATACATCTCCAACACTAAGCACCCTAACGACCACAAATCTAGGGTTTTATTCGCCACACCATCGTGTAGAGACTCTGGCGGCATGTAAATAGGCGTTCCAACGAACGGATAATCGATCTCCCAGTAATCAGGTAATTTTCTGTCGGTGTAATTGTCCATGAAAGCGCTTAAACTACCTTCGGATGCGTACTCGAGAAGCAATTTGAAGACAAAGTATCCCTTATCGGTGAAACCTAGTTCCAAATCGTTACCAAAGCATTGAACGATGTTCGGATATCCACTGAGTTCGCACAGAATCTGAAACTCTCTGTTGAGAGATTCGTAGTCTTCGGCGTCGGAGGTTTTGACGGCGGCGTGAAAAGAGGAGCCGTCGTTTTTAGTGTATTTAACGAGATCAACAGAACCGTAAGCACCTTCGCCTAAGAACTTGACGAACTCTTCACTTGTTTGCATCTTTTTTGATTTGCTAGTTTTAGGGTTTCTGTTTTTTACGAGTTCGAACTGAGTTACAAGCTTAGAAGAAATTGAATCACTCGAGAAACTGGAAGAAAATTGAAGCAAGAGAAGGAAAAAATTGGAAATTATAGTGCGATAGAAGAAAAACGAAACATTTATAGGTAGATTTATGACCGTTGCTTTTATTTTTAGATTGTAACGAGAGAGAGAGAGAAGGAAATTAGAGAAAGGTAAAAAAAAGGAAATTTTAGTAAATCAACTCGTGAGACCATCTCTATGATCACATCAAGTACGTAATCTAAAAAAGTTACAAAGAGAAATGAAATATATTAAAAAAAAAAAACATTTTTATTTTTGGTTTTTCATGGTTTAAAAAAAAAATCCAACAACATGAATAAATTACCCTAACCATAAAAACTGTTAGAGAATTACTTTCTTCTTCAAGGGGAAAAGAAACACAAAGGAAAGAATCAAGAATGTTCTTCTTGTTTATAGATGGAGACAACAACTGAGGAAGAAGATCAAAGTGACTTCTCTCAGTTCTTTCAGTCTTCTTGTTTGGTCTGAATCTGATGATCGTCATAGCCAAAAGCAAGCTCGAAGATCTTTTCATAGTTATCCACAAAGTGAACATCAAGCCCTTCTTTCACATTCTCCGCAAGCTCATCAAAGTTTCTCCGGTTTGCCTCCGGAAATATTATCGTTTTCTCCTGACTCCGTCTCGCCGCTATAGTTTTCTCCTTCACCTGAAAGATTGTGTGTGAGAAACTTGCAGAAAATTTTGTAAAATGTCGATAACGAAGCTTTCATAGACTGAAAGAAGACCGGAGTTGTTAACTTACCCCTCCATTAGGTAGAATTCTACCTGTTAGTGTGACTTCTCCAGTCAATGCAAGATCCTTCCTAACAGGTTTCTTCATGGCAAGTGATAGTAATGATGTGATCAACGTACAGCCTGCGCTTGGACCGTCCTTGTGTGTGGCCCCTGCAGGAACATGGAGATGAAGCTTCGAGTTTGCAAAGAACTTGTTCTCTGCTTCTTTCTCCAGCAAGATCTTTCTCGTGACTGTGAGCGATTTGTGTGCTTTCCTTCATCACATCACCAAGTTGTCCCGTTATATTCAGGCCACCTTTACCTTCCCCATCCTCCACGACAGTTGGCTCTATGTACAATGTTGAACCACCCATTGATTTCCAAGCTAGACCCATCACAACTCCTACAGGTGTCTGCTCATAGATCTTCTCTGCATGGAATACTGGTTTTCCCACATAATCTGCTAGGTTCGATTTGAGCCTCTTCCTTTGATTCTTCAGCAGAGGGCACAGGGTTTTCTTGGACAATATGGTTCTCTGGGGGCTCCACATCGAGTTTAGTTACAATTTCAGCCTCTTCGGCATCAATTGCACCTACAGGCTCTTCGGTAACTACTTCGCGCACTAATTTAAGGGCAATCTACAAAAGGATACTAATGATGTTAGATTTTGAGGGCTGGAGTAAACAATTCAAAGTCTTGTAGCAAACTTACCTTCCGGTATATCTTCTTGATCTGTTTCTAGAGATTCCTGACACCTGCTTCTCTACAGTAATTTTCTATCAAGAAAAGAAGAGCTGCATCATTCACCTCAACCTGCATATAGTATAAACAAATTGAGCAAATCCCACAAGAAAAAATATGTGATTCCATGACAATTACTCGAATTCTCCCCAAAGTTAAAACCAGAGTCAAGTGGAGAATATAATGAGAGTGAGACATGTTCAGGCTTGATGCCACAATCTCTGCGTGTGGTTTTTTCCAAATAGTCTCTTGCGATATGAACTTTCTCATCAGTGATATACCCAGCAATAGAAATCACCTCCATTCTGTCTAGCAGAAGATTCAGAATCATGTCTATTACATTTGCTGTGCACACAAATAAAACCTGCAGGGAAATGGATCAACATTTAAATTCAAACAGCCTAGAACATGAAACAAAATGGTATCCCTATCCATCAATTGGTGGATCAAAACACCATGAAGAAAAGAAAGAAAATTTGGTCATTGATAACATCACTTACCTTTGATAGGTCAATAGTGACATCGAGATACTGGTCCATAAGCTCCAACAACGCACTGGCTGGGTCACCCGCATGACCTCTCCCAAGCTGCTAGGGATCAATAAACAATTTTATCAAACAGAACTTTGGTAATAACTGGAGGTGAATAGCTTTGTCTTGATGAACTAAATAAGCTGCTAAGATATTACCTTATCAATCTCGTCGATCAGAACAAGAGGATTTGCTGTCCCCACACTGCAAATTATTAATAAAATAGATTTCTTGATCAGTGAACACAAAGCAAATACAAATGGTACCATGACATAAGCATGAATGCTCACCCCTCTTTATCAGTCTCCCATATCAAAATACCTACTGCTTTACTCAAACAAATAGAACAAGAGTATAATACCTGTAATTTCCCCAAGGCAATACGGTCACGTTAAACTCGCTTGAACTGGCCTCTAACAGCTGGAGTTTTGTAAGCTCAACTTGTAATACATGTGCGGGAATTTTTTCCTTGTTGGGCTCAATCCTTTCCTTAAATTTTTCTGCAGCAAAGAACAGATAATAAATTTCAGTTTGCTTGACCATCCACATTAGAGACATTTTGTGGATGTCTTTAAATAAAAAAATATTAAAAACACAC